ACCATTCCCACCTCAGCTGTTGTAACAGAAAGTGCAACATCCTGCAACCAGGGCATTGTTCAGGGCTAAAACCCCAAGCTTTCTCCATCCTTGCTAGTACAATAGGCACTCCCTCAACTTCCTCCTCTTTCATCAGTGGACAGATGCTTCATCTCCAGATCAATGGGCTGGTAATTCTTTAATCAACATTAAAAGTGCAGCAATTTATTGGTTCGAAGATTTTACTTTCTCAAATTTATCAATTCCCTTGAATCCCTGAGCTGTTAACTGAATAACTGGTGTCTGTCAGTTCTAACATACAAGCATCAAGAGTCAAAGTCATTGACTTTGGGTTTATAGAGCCCAGCTCTATAAAGTATTTAAAAATGAGACAAAAATCTATGCATGATGTATGCATATATCACTTCCCAACATAACTGCTGAAATTCCATGATGTCCAGTAACAAATGATGAAACAGTATTGTTCATTCTAATGGATACAGTCTCATCTCCAAATGTAAGGATTTACATATGTCATTATAATTAATGCTAATGGCAATCATAAATCTTCTGAATATTGAAAGGGATTAGGCTGTTAAAATGACCAATCGCACTTCCCAAACACACACTAGTCAAAACATTAGTACATAGAAATTGTGTTCTCACTGGAATAATTTTTCAGTGTGGCCAGCTGACGCTTTAATTATTTGGAAAGTAACAGGTTAAGTAGGGAACAGCCTATTTTACACTAGCTATAACTGGATAAACCATACACTTCTAAATCAGGACCTACAGAGTGAACACACTGCAGAGGAGCCCAAGGACAAACACATGAAATGAGACTGTCAAAGCCATGAAGGGACTTAGTCACACACTTTTCATCAACCATCCCTTCACCACTTTGAAAATCTCATTCACCATCCCTGTATTTAGAGTTCTTTGTGTTTGTTTATCTGTACACTTCTAGGTCCCAAAAACTTCCACTTACTCTAAATGTTGAAACAACATTATCCTGCTAAGGTAGTTTCTCAGAAACACATTTTCAAAGCAGCAGGAAGTTTTTCACTGTGCGACATTTATTAACACAAATTGGATTCACACAGCTAAATCTTGCTGCAGTTCATTGTCAATTCACCCCTTCCAGAATTTAATATTTTTTGAATTTTTTTTTTATTTTCCAAACATTTTCATCTTTCAGTGTTTTATGGCATGGTATCTGCAATAGCACAGGCACAATCTTTGCCAGCTGGTCTAATTTTCTGGTACAGACAAGGCCAATGTCTCAGACTTCTAATGGCATCAGTAAGAATTATGGCTGTAATCCAAAGGATTCATACGTCCTTATGATATATTTTCCCAATGTATACATAGCTCCTAATAATCTTAATGACATATTTATGCACAAAAAGATACACATACACTTCATTGTTTTTTGCTCAGACACCTTTGGCAATGGCATATGACAACACTTCAGTCAGGAAGAGCAAAACAGGGAAAGATCAAGGAGTGGCAAGGGGGCAAGATAAGTTTGTGTTCTTCTTGCACAAAATTTCCTTGGTTTTCAGAAGCAAAATCCACATGAAGGAGTTCAATGAAACCCTGAAAGTGATGAACAGCTTTTCCTGAACTTGTGCCACCTACATTTCCATCTCAATGATTTTTTCCAGAATTCTGCATTACACATAATGACATGGATTACATTTACAAATGAAGTTACTATTAAATGATAGGAGACTAATTACAGACTGTCCTTAGGATTACTGAATGAAGCACTTAAATGCATTCATTATAAAAAAAGTAAAAGATGTCAGCAGAAAAACTCCACTTTCGTGGATTAAAGCATAACTGAAAATCACTATTATTGCCATTTGATATCAAAATCCCCCAACAAACAGGACTGAAAATTACAAGCAAATCTTCTTGCAGTTAATACACTTAATGGGTTAACATTAGAGAAAGGGTATTTTATTCACAGTAATGCAATAACTGTTTTCCTCTTCACTTTTGCCTTGGCTGTTTGTTTATACATTGCTGGGATAAAGAAGGCAAACGTTAAAGGCAAAAGTTTTAAAGAATCAAGGAACTGTGCTTTGAGGACACTGAACGATACACTCATCTTTAGAGCAAGCAAATCTTGTTTATGAACATGTCTCCAGGGATTTGACTTTTTTACTTTCCATCTTACACAGAAGAGAATCTACATAGTATATGCATGCTATAAAAGGTTTTGCCAGTTGTATTCAATTAGAAACTTCTTTCTCAGGTAATATCTAAAGGTTAATCCTAAGGATAAGTGTGAGCTGTTCCCAGGCCCTTCTCTGACATGAGCAAAACATGACTAACATAAACAACTTCTTTTTTTTAAATACGTGCCCATCTGTTTTCAAAGTTTTTTTCTGAAGTTGTATAAATCATCAGTACTTCTGAAATTCTACAAGTTAGCAGTACAAATGCTTGGATTTTGCAACATTTAATCTAAATATTGTCTACAATCACTAATATCTCTTTCACCCCTCCATAGGGGATGCAAAGTAAAATAAATCTCACTTAATGAGAGTAATGTCCAGGGATGCAGTTTTGCTGCATAAGTTTTATATTTATGATCTCTAAGATATTAGAAAAAGATTTAAACTCTCTGTGGTGTTAACTTCTACATGTATAAACTGAACACTGCAACCACTGAGACCATGGACAGCATCTGAGCCTTAAATTCATGGGCTTAGGAATGATACTCCCCAATTTCATTCTCCAGCTGAGACTCTCTAGATCATGCTGCCACTTGCACCTCCCTCTCCCCCTCTCCTTTCCTCCTGCAGTGCCTTGAAAGGAGTATAAGAGGCCCAAAAAGCAAAGACCATGGGTAGAGATAAGAACAATTACTGGAAACAGCAATGAGATAAGAAAAGGAACAGTAACAGCAACAGTGTTAATGACAAAAGCATGCTAAAGAAAGAGTGATTCGCATGCAAAATGCTCATCCCAGCCCCACCAGACCGCAGTCGTGCTCCCCTTGGCTTGGAACCAGGGCCTCTCTCACTGCTCTCTCCAACTTGGGACTGGTGCCACACTACCCCAAACCATACCCCAAAAGAAAAATGGAAGGACTCCATTCTCCCTGGAAGGGAGTCCTTTTCCTCCACCTGTGGCAATGATGTGAGGTAGCATAGAATAGCCTCCAGGTTCCTAGCCATGTCCCCTCCAGGCTACTGCAAAAAAAATTAATCCCATCTTGGCTGGAACCACGACATAATAACTACTAGATTACTTCTTGAATATAAAGAAAGACTTCTAATCTTAAATGAAAATAAATTAAAATGACAGCATTTTGCCATACAGACATTTATTAGCACCTGAAAGACATAGATATGACAGTGGAACAAGAATATAAAGCAGGTAAGGACAGCAGAAAAAACTATGCATTGAAGTAATTTTTGAAAGTTGTTATATCATCTGATAGGTCTTTTATAAAACACAACTCTTTTCCTGAAAGAGTTTTTATGCATTTCTCTGCAGATTATGGTGGCCATTCACACTTTACATCAATTTTTATAGCCTCCCAGTAATTCTACAGAATAGTAAATACAGTTACTATAATACTCATAACTGGCAAAGAGATATATTTGAAGAAATAGGGTTTGTTTCTCCTCCCACATGCATGATGTAAATCAGGAGCAATTCTGCTGCAGTCGTTAGCACAAAACTGATACAAAACAAGAAACAAAAAATAACAGTAATGTATACAGAACACTTTCCTTACACTAAGAGTACAAAATCATATGCCTCCTCTGGTTTTTGGCTAGGTTGTGCCGCTGAGTTACTTACACCACACTAAGCTCATCACTCTATTCACATGTGAATAAGGTCCAGACTCACACTGGAAACAATGGAGACACGCCAGTTTACACAGGCTAAGAGCCTGGCACAAAGCCTTGAAAATGAAAGGAGATTTTCAAATAAATGCAATATGTACAATTACTTCTGGAGTATTACCTCTGAAACAGAAGCGATTTTCAAAGTTTTGTAAGAGAAAACTAGAAAGATCGCAAAGGATTACGAATACAAACAAACAACCCCCACCCCTACCCCCCCACTAAATGCATCCTAATTTTCTTCTTTACAGACACACACACACAAGGAACACCGCTCATTTTAAGAGAGATCATGTGGCAACATGATGAAACTGAGTCACTAGAAATGAGAAAAATCTTTTAAAACACTCTTGGGACCAGGGACTACCGTTCAGGGGAGAGTATTATTTTATCATCCTGCTAATGAGCCAGATGAAGGATTAGTGTTGTTTGGCGGTGATTTATCTCAACAACTGTTTTCTCTAAAATAACTATGCCAACTCCACTAAACAAAGAGAAGAAGCAGCGCCGTTCTGTTGTTTCAATTGCACGCTGAGGAATACTTAAGCAGAGGAAAGGAACCCCAAGAAAAGTCACAGGAGAGGGCCGGCACACGCCGCTTTTACACAGGTTAAGAAAAATAGAAAAAGAAAGAGGTGGCGATGCCGGTCCCCGCATCTTCCCACCGCGCCGGCAGCGCCCAGCAGTGTCCGGCCCCACCGCCGCCCCGCGGGCACTGACGGGGGCACCGTCAGCCTCGTTCCTCCCCTCCGCCTTTGCTTTGAGCAGACAGGGGAAACCCCTGCCTGGAACCACTCGATTCCACAGGGGGAGTGACACCTCGAAGCGACACCAGGGCGGGGGAGCCGCTCTCCCTCAGGCAGGGAGCGCTGACACCGCCAGGGCTGGGGCGCCGCGGCATCCGCCCCGGGTCGCCGACCGTGTCCGTCCCGCAGCCACGGGGCCGCTCTGACCCCGAGCCTCGTCGCACCGCCAAACTTACGAGCCGGGGCGCGGGGGCGCTGGGCGGGAGCGCCGTCGGGGCGGCGGGCGCGGACAGCTCCGCGGCCGGGTCACCGCTGCTCTGCGCCCCGGTGGCCGTGCCCGGGGCGAGGGAGAGAGAGCCCGTCCCTGCCCGCCTCCCGCGAAGCCGAAGCGTGCCCCGGCACTCACCAGCTGCAGCGAGCAGAGGAAAATCAGCGTGCAGCGCCCCGTGCAGCAGCCCATGGTGGCAACCGGAGAGCCACCGCCGCCGCTCCGCTTCTTCCCTCCCGCACTGACGCGGCCCCGGAGGCGAGGCGGGGGCTCACCGCATCCGGACGGAGCGGCCGGGCGTGCGGGTATCCCCCGCCTCCTGCTGCCTCGCTCCTTTGTGGAGGGGCTTCTCTCGGCGGCGGGAAGCAGCGCGCGGAGGTCGGCGCGGCCCCAGGGCTGGGAGCCGGCGGCAGCGGAGGGCTCTGCCCGGCTCTGGGGAAGGGGCAGGGGCCGGGGGTGGGCGTTCGCTGGCCGGGGCGGGGTGGGCAGAGGGAACGCGGGTGGGGAGGCGGGGGCCGCGGGTGGGGAGGCGGGGGGCGCGGGTGGGCGTGCGAAGGAGGGCGGGAGCTGTGCGAGGTGTGAACGGGAGAGGAGCGGGGGCGGCGGCGGGCTTTTCTCAGGCGCCGTGCCGGGGATCCCCGGGCGGGCAGTTTGCTGGGATTTTGGAGGCTCCGAGGGCAGGCTGTGCTTGAGGGGAACTTGGCGGGAGGGGCGGGGGGCTGTGCGGACAGCAGCAGCCCGGCGTGGGCCGCTTGTTGCGAGCGCCCGGGGAAAGTTGAAGGGACTGTGGCGGGCGAGACGGGGAGCGGCGGCTGCCGAGCGGCGGGGGGGGCCCGGAGCAGCCCGCCCTGTGGCGGCCGGGGCAGCCCGGCGGCGGGCGGGGGCCATTGTTCGCCGTCCGAGCTGTGCCGGGATTGGAGCGAGCTCCGGAGGAGCAGCCGGGAGCCCGATCCTCAGGGAGTCCCGCTGGCAGTGCGCCCTCCCAGCGGGTGCCCGGCGCTACCCGGTGAGCCTGCTCCCCTTCCCGCTGCCCCAGCCGTGGCGGGGAGTGTCTGGGGGATTGAGGCTGCTGCTCGGGCTGTTCGATGCCCTCCTTGTCCGCGCACCAGTGGTGCTAGGGGCAGGGGTTTCCCTTCCTGGCAGCGCCATTTGTGCCGGGAGAGCCCGCTGGCTCCTGCTGTCCCTCGCGGGTGTGAACTGGGAATGGGCTCCGGCGAGAGGGACTCGGCTCCGGCAGACACCGCTCCTGGCAATGGTAAATCGTAGAGTCGTTCAGGTTGGAAAAGATCTAAGATTCTCAAATCCAGTCGTTAATCCAGCACTGCCAAGTCCATAGCAAGGAGACAAGATGAACAAACAGTGCTCTCCAGGGGCAGTTGGGATAAACAGGATCAGCGGAGATACTGCGGTCCCATCATCTATAAATGTAGTTTGGTCATAGACAAGTAATCTTCTGGGGCGGGATAATAAATCCAAATATACACACCGTCCCTTAAAAATACGGTGTGGAGATGATATGTTGATGGAGTGTCGGCTAACTTCCTTTTTCCCTTTTCCAACAAAGTATAGATAAATTAGATAATTTTTTACAGGCATTAAGGCATGTTCCACTCACTAGACAACACTTTCCTACAGCCTGTTACCAGCTGCTGTTCCACAATATAGAGACTTCTGCCACAAACACTGAAGCTTGCCCTGGGGGAAAAAAAGAACAAACCATAAAAACAAACCACAAAACCAAAACCTTATCTTCTACAAGGCATTTTATTGAGTTATCTGATTAATATCTCAGTGAAATACACAGTATTGCATCCCCCAACTACATACAGTTCTTCATTTATATATTAAATAGTAGTGACAATATTCAAACAATTACAAGGCAACTGTAAAACAGTATTGTGTCAGATTAGATTTGGAAAGCTGCGTTTTTCTACCTTTTTTTTCCCACCCTTTTAACATTAAGAGAAACATTAAGACAATTTTAAATACCAAACTGAAGAAACAAAAGGAAGACAAGTAAGAAGCAGATTCTGCTCATCCAGGATGTGTATTTGACTAGGTATGTATTTGAGGAGCACAAAATATAATCCACATTGCACAGTATACAAAACTTTAATAAATCCACCTGAGATTTATATTTCTATGTATGGCTTTTAAGACAAAATTGTACCTGGGGCTAAAGTTTACTAAAGTTCCATGTTCTGAGAACATATATATTTTGAAGGATGAATACTTGAAGGTACAAAAGTAAATTGAAGAGGTGATAGTTGCCAAAAATATAGTGTGCCAGGCTTTGTGAGCTGGTACATTTTATGGATAATTATTTTTCTATAGACAAGACTTAGAAGAAGCATCATCTCTCTGGACTTCACTGAAGTATTTAGTAGACTACAAAATCTTTTTAGTTAAACCCAATAATATGGAGATTAATAATAAAAATGGCAGGATGGGTAAGGAACCAGATCAATGAAATGCCAAGAGCTAGTGCTGAAGAGATTTTACTTGTACTCACCATATTCAGTCCCTATCTTTACATTAGTGGGATGAGGTCCATAACTTTCCTCTATTTCTCCCCTAGAATAGTGCTCTTCTGAGAAGCAGCTAAACCCTGTGGAATAAGGGGTGGAGAATGTGATAGTTTTGGCTGCAACAGAGTTAATTTTCTTCACAGTAGCTACTAGGTGAGTATGTTCTGGATTTGCACTGATACAGGGTTTATAATTCAGAGATGTTTTAGTCACCTCTGAGCAGGGTTCACAGACCCTCAAGGCCCATTTCTTCTCATCTTTCACGACCAACAAAGGGGCTAGGAATGCACAAGGAGGTGGGAGGGGACACAGCTGGGACCGCTGACCCCAACTGACCACAGGGATATTCCATACCATATGACATCATGCTCAGCATAGATTGCTAGCGGAAAAAGGAAGAGGGGAACTTTTGAGGTGATGGCATTTTTCTTCTTCCCAAGTCACTGTTACACATGACAAGGTCCAGCTTTTCTGGGTCTCAACACCTGTCTGCCCATGGGAAATAATCAAAGTCCTTGTCTTGCTTTGCTTGTATGCATGACTTTTTGCTTTCCCTATTAAACTGTGTTTATCTCAGCCCATGAGTTTTCTCCCTTTTACCCTCTGAATCTCTCCCCTATCACATCAGGGAAAGGTGGGGGAAGAGTGAGTAGCTGCATGAGGCTGAGTTTTCAGCTGGGGTTAAACCACAACAAGTGGGAGCAAGTTTTTTAGAGGTTTATGAATCTCTAATATTTTTCTCTTTGTTTTCCCATGTTCCTGAAGCATTTAGTTATATATGTCCTCTAGCAAGTCAAAATTGATCCTCCCCTCAAAAAAAGGATAGTTGTATTATACCTGAGTATAAGGTTTCACAAAGGAAAAAATTACACAACAGAATGCTGTAGAACATGACTTCCATAGGAACACAAGATACTAAAATAATAGAATAAACTCTCACTGCAGCTGAAAACACTGACCAATAGAAGTACAGGAGAAAGTACCTGGATCAGAAGGAGGCAAAAAATGAAGTATGGTTATGAGAAGGCATAGGATTTCTAGAACATATCAGAGAATGCAATATAAGAATAAAATAATGAACAAAGCAAATAGGAAGGACTGTATTTTACAGCTTTTTCTACCCATGAATTTGGTATAGAAGCTGATAGTCAAGTAACAATAGAAAGTAATTTCCAGCTGTATAATGAAGACAGCCCTAATTCAGCACCATGCATGCCAAGTAGGTGAAAAAATGGTGTAAGTTCTAAAAAGTCCTGTGGACTCTTAATGTCCAACAAGATATGCTGTATGGATGCAAATTCAGTGCTCTTGAAAAGAAAGCATGTCCTCAAAAGCTTTATGACATGTCCATGTATACATGGCCATACCCTCACATAAGTGTATGATTTCCTATGCTAAAGCTGTAATCCTAGGGCATCAAAACTTGTGCTTCTTAAGTTTGCATTCAAAGCAGAAAACCAGGGCTGTTCACATTCAGAAATATAGCATCATAAATAGCATTAAGAGATATTAAAAGTATGTCATGGACACTTCTAATTCCTATAGGTTTATTCCTTATTAGGTTATAATCTTGGAGTTTTTCTCAGCCTGCACCAAATTATCCTGTCATGGGCCGGGCCTTAAGGAGATGCATTTTGTTGACTCTGCCCATTGGACTACAGTAGTAATCACAGATGACAGCAGAAACACTTTCTTCATAGTTTGACTTTTCCATTCTTAAACATGAATATTAGTCAGAGGAAATTAGTGATGACAATAAGCAACAGTGACAAAAGATAATCCTAATCCTGGAAAGATTTGTGTATTTACTTAATTCTTAACACCAAGCATAGCCTTTTATGCTGTGCAGAGATTAGGTAAATACATTTAGGGTCTGCAGAATCAGAACTTAACAGATTCTTGTGGCCTCAGATTTCACCTTTAACTTTGGCATTTAATGCAGAAAGATTGAGAATCAGAAGCTTTGTAATTACTTTTCGAGCTTTCCCAGAATGAGGGAGGATACAGGGGTCTAAACGCACCTCCATAAAGCTATCAACAGGTCACACTTCAGGCAGACTTACAGTTATGATAGCTTAGAAAAACATTCCACTGTGTATTCCCCAAGCAGTCTTGAAATACCTCAAGCAAACTAGAAACCCTATGAAATTTAATATAGCTTTAAAGACAAATGAGAGTTTCAAGATATTATCAGTGTTTTTAGTAAATCCTATTTTCAATTTATTCTTCTGAAAGCAGATACACAATATAATGATCTAATTTTTCATTTCGATGTTAACACCTGCTGCTAGGAAACTGCATTCTTCATTAAAATGCAAGTACTTTATGGAATGAAAATATATGTTCTTTGTGAATGACTTTTTTTTTACTTTAAAGAAATGTTTTAAATGATCAGGCTCAGTGTGGGGAACCATGGCTCTCAGTGGCGAGGCAAGTCCATGGGGAAAGGAATGGGGACTGGTCAGTGTCAGACACAAGACAGCCCAGGCTGGGCTTGTTCCTGGGGAGGCAAAGCTGTGGGTAGCTATATATCAGCCCTGCAGCTGAGACAACACTGGGGCAGGAACTGATGGCCCTTTTGGGGCTGAGATGGGGTCCTGGGCTCTGGGCAGGGTTTTGGGAGCCCAGGGGGTGGGCAGAAACAGGCTGGACTGGTGGTGCCCTTGGGGCCCTGACAATATGAAAGCAGTTTTTAAAATGTGAGTGCTTTAAGTGCACAGACTGACTCCCTATAACTCATTCTGGTTTGTCAGTGGTAGACTCCAGCTCAGCTTTGGGTTTTTTTTTTTTCCTATATTTAGCTCTTCTTATCTTTTTTAAATGTTTGTTTGTTTGTTTTTGGTACAATGCATAATGCATGTCCCTATAGCCAGGAACAGCAAAACTGGAATAAAGCACAAGTTCTTAGCAACCGTCTCCCATATTAATTGCAGGAACCAAAAGGCTGGTAAAAGATTCAGATCTAAATATAAATATTATATATATAAATATAAATGTTCAGATCTCTTCACTGTCAGTGACAGGACTTGAGGAAATGGCATGAAGCTGAGTCAGGGGTGGTTTGGGTTTGATATCTGTGTGAAAAGATTTTTCACACAGAGGGAGGGTGAGCAATGGAGCAGGCTCCCCAGAGAAGTGGTCACAGCACCAAGCCTAACAGAGTTAGGAGAAGTGTTTGGACAATGCGCTCAGGTGTGACTCTTGGAGTGTCTTATGCAGGGCCAGGATTTGGACTTGATCCTGATGGGACCCTTCCAACTCAGCATGTTCTATGGCACTATAAGGCTTTCTTTTTGCAGGTCAGTATTAATTTTGAACCATTCATTGTGCATAAATATTGGTACAAGCCTCAATTTTAATATGGAAAAGCTTGACAAGAAAACTGACATGCATATTTATATAGAAAAGTCCTTCAATATCTAAAGCTGAATTCATAGTGTCTGAAATGGAGTATAGAATGGATTGTTTTTCTTTACTTACTGAGGGTTTTGCATTAGACTTGAAAAGATGGCACTGGTACCAGCTGTGTTATTCACAGCCAAAAATTTAAGATGCTAGGTTGGTCTGAAATACTTCTGACATTTGCTTCA